AAAGTCAACGAAAAACTATGATGGTCTTCTCTTGCCAAATCCGTGATTCAGATCTTCAAAGGGGCTGGTCGCCGCCATTGCCACCACCAATCAACCGCTACCATAGGTTCGGTCATGTCCACAATCCACCTACACAATCTCCGCCATCATCTTCCCAACGACCAGCTCTATAAGAGCATCTCCGGCGGTTAGCTAAATACCCTCATAGCTTGACTAGCCACATAAGCATTTGCACCAAAATTAAAATCTACTCCAATAGTAGTATTTGATAATTCTTTGGGCTCAAGCTAGTAGTTCATTTTGACTAGTTAGCCTTGTCAAGCAAAAGCAAAAACAATGCTCCAATGGTAAGCTAATAGCTTTAAAATTGCAAGCAAGTCCTCAAAAGGAATCATTGGTGATACTCTAACCTCTGCTACTGTTTTCCTTATGATGTGCGGGTCTTGCTTTAACGGTAGAAAAGAATATCTTTACGGGCTGTGTTATCAAGGCCGTATTTAGTAAAAAACGGGCTGCATTTAGAATTGTCCAAAAGTTATAATGCATGATTTTGAACTTATAGCATCATTCCATGTGTGCAATCACATACAAAATTTCTAAATTTACGGAGATTGCATATCTCCCTACGGGTTAATACTCCCTCTGACCCGAATCGAATTGCAAACTTTAACTAACACAAGGAATAAGGAATGACAATAAATGATACTTGATTTTAACGATTTGCTCATCTTTCTAAAAGTAGATGTCTTTAAGTTAATAGAAAAAGATAAAAGTAAGAGTAAATTTGTCACTTTATTCTTGTTTACATACCTAAAATAGTAAGTGGAAAACCATTTTGGGATAATTGAAATAGGAAATTTTGTAAATCAAATTAGGACCAAGGGAGTAGATATAACAACTCTAATTCTAAATCCTGAATTCTACATTTATCAGAACTTTGTATGTATATATTCCATGGTTTGTGCATAAGAAATATTGTGTAACCAAATAACAAGGATATTTTTACTTGGACTGGAATTTACTGTTATAGTCTGGTCTAGTCTGTTTAAGTCTGGTTTGATCGGGTTTGGTCTGAACAGATCTGGTCTCTGTGTATTTTATAATTATGCGAGTTTGGTTTGGTCTAGTATACGAGTGGAGTCATTTAATTCCTTATCTAGCTTGTTTGTCTATTCTTATTTGTCTATTCTTATTTTTGTAATATGATGGCAAAAGTTATATAGTTCCCTGCTCTCGATTGCTTTATTCGTTACTCCTGCGTACGTTTAGGTCAACACGCTGCACACTTTCCCTTCATTTTATTTCTTCTCCTTTCCTTCTTTTTTAGTTTATATCAATAATTTTTTATTACTTCCATTGAATTTCCTTCCCTTTTAAGTTAATATCTTTCATTAATAATACTCCAGATTTTTTAATTATTTCCTAAATATTGAATGCCCATGAAGTGTTTGAAAAAAAATATCCAAAGTGAATATTCATTCTTATTTTGATGTATTATTTTATTGTTCCATGCATTTGTATAAAAACTGCTTATTATAAATAAATTTTCTTAATATTTCTCATTATATAATATACTTATATATAGTTGACTAAAAGAATGAATCATATTATGGCTACATGCGAATAATATATTTTTGAATGAGTTTTGTCTAATACTTAAATGAGTATAACGTTTACAGGGAATGTGTATTGATAGTCTTAAAATGAGCACTCATGGAGCCTCTTAGAATGAGTTTTGTGCTATACCATAATGAGTATATCGTTTAAAGTAAATGTGCATTGATGTAACATTAATGAATATTTGAGCACATTATTGAAGATTTGAAATGAGCTTTTCAATTCTTCGACATTCAATAGTAGAAAACATGATACTTAATGAATATGTATTGATGCTCAAATGAGGTTTTGAAATTTTTATATTCAATTGCAGAGTTCTAATGCTCAATACACATAATCGTGATGCTCAATAGTCGAGAACATAATATTCAATTAAGATATTTTGATATGTAAATGAATTTTTAAGAATTTGTATACTTAATTTGAGAATTTCAATATTCAATAACAAAAAGAAAGTGAATGAGAAGTTATGAAACAAAGATCACGATGTTCAATATTAGACTCATAATACTCAACAAAATAGGTATCATGCTCATTAAAAGTGTATTAATGCTCAGTTAACAAAAACCGTGATTTTTATTTCAATAAAGGATGTTTGATGCTCAATGAACATATCACGATGTTAAACTACTAACAAACCCATGATATTCATATTAATGAGCATTTTGTAAGTTGCGTATACTCATTTGGTACTGATTTTATGCTCATTTTCAAAATGTCATATCAATGCATATTTCAAAAGTATCATATTAAATTACATTCGCATATTGAAATTCATAGGAGTGTATTATAGATATGATTTAATATGTTTTTTTGAAAGAAAAAAAATGAATTAGAAGATATGAAGCAGAGATCGTGATACTCATTGTTAGCCTCATAATACTCAATAAAATAAGTCAGATGCTCAATAAAGGTACATTATTGCTCAATTAGTACAAGCCGTGATTTTTCGCTTAAATTACAAAAATGCAACCCCATTTTTGGCCTGTATTAGTTATTGGACTCTTCCTTAGTTGGGCCGGGTGTACATACACCCGGATGTATGATATAGGGACTCCTCAGATAGGCTTATTAAAAGCCGGTAGATTGGATTTTTATTTGGATATGATCTTCTTGTTTTTGTTGATGCCGTCTCAATGATACATAGGATTTGCTACTAAATAAAATGATGACATTTAGATAAGTAGGAAAAATTACTTCCATGTTTTGGCAGTACCAGACTTTAAACATGACAGTATTTTCCAAACTTGGAAATAATTACTCCTATTATGGGCATAAAACTTGACAATCCTATTTTGGAATTTTCAAACTTTTTTACTCCTATTTCGGGAATTTTTCCAAAGAAAAACCCATAATCAAACACGACAAAGAGAAAGCGTGTTTTAACATAACGAAGGGAGGAACCGACGGCAAACAGAACTGGAGCTCCAGGGGCGCTGCAAGATTACGACATATAGCTACCTTGACAGCTCCGGTGAAGGAGGGGTGCCGATAACGATTCACCCTGGCCTGGTTCCGTTGCTGGGGGTAAGGGTACGCTTACGGGGTAGGGAAGGGACTCCGGTAGAGGGTCGGGGTGGGGTCGGGGTTTGGTAGGGCAGGGGTAGGGTGAGGGTGGGTAGAGGTAGGGTAGGTAATAGGGGTATGGTAGGAGTAACAATAAGGGGAAAGAGTAAGGGTAAACTCGGAAACTGAAAAGGCTAAAGGTGCCACTTTATTAATACATGGGGGTTGTATGCTTAGAAAACTGCACTTTAAGCACCTTTTTCGGTTAGTAAGCGGCTTTTTAAGCAGCTTATGTGTTTACTTCACCTGTCTTACAAACCTAACTGTACTTTAGCGGCGAAGTAAATATGTCCTTAGTGTATTCCTATCTCCGTCCTTCTATATATGGATTTAATATTGGTACAAGTTATTAAGAAAGATTTACAATCACACTATTATTACCAAATTTGGCGTGTGACAGTCTTAGTAGCACGGACCAAAAAGAAAAGATGGGAAATATTAGCGGGACGGATAAGATATATATTTGCTATTTGCTAACATGAAAATAAAAAAGAATGAGTCAAGGCTAACAAAAACCATGTGTTTATCCTAACCACTTTTAGATATGGACTCGGGCCGGGTTAACCGGCCCGTAACCGGCCCGACTCGTAACCGGCCCGGCCCGGTACTGTTACGGCCCGGCCCGGTACTGTTACGGTAAAACTCAGACGCTTGAATTATTTTGTTGTTTTTATTTAAGAATTCTTGTTTAGTTATCTCCCATTTTAGTAGCAAGTTCATCGATGTTGTTAAATTAGTCTACCATGATGCGGGTTAGCAAATTTGCCGGATTCTCAGAGTTTAGTCAATTCTATGTTTCACTTCAGTATAACCTTGAACTAGTGTATTGTTTTGTCTCTTGTTACTTTCATTATTATTAATAATTAAGTCTTCTCCTTTCAAAAAAAATAATGGCTTAATGATGTGAAAAATTAAAGCTACTCGCAGTACTACTTATTCCTACTACAAAGAGGGGTCGAGATTATAACCAAAGGGGAAAATGACAGCACCATAAAATTACGGGTCAATACACTTATCCGCCTTTTTCTCGAGTTCTTTAGTTTCTATTTTTTCAAATTATTGGCACTTCTAATTCTATAAACATTTGATTTAAAATGATTCATATATCATTTGATTTAAAATGATTCACTAGTTGGGGGAAGCAACATACTACATAAAAAAATACCAACATACTAGAACAAAATAAAATAAAATAAAAGAGAACGAATAAATATTCCTTTATAAGGGTATGCGTGAGAGAAAACATGTTTTATCTAGTTTTTTTTTGAACAAAAATGTATGTATTTTTCTCTTACATTTTTTGAGACATACAAAAATGTATGTCTTATAGACGCTTATACATTTAGTTGTACCCACGAGTCCAAACCCCAAGATTCAGCTACTATGCTATGGCAGCGACGAACGCCCCTCCGCCCCACTCCTAGCCATTCAGTCGCCAGTCCACCATCCGTTATAGCGTGTCAGTTGAGGAACTGAAACATTGTTGCCGAATTACATGGCTGCCACGGAGTCCCCTCAATATCGGATTCCATCTCAAACATACTCTCAAATTCAGCTAGACTCATTAATTGTATTAGATACTTCCTCGTTTATGATTTGATGGATGAAGCATGAATTATTTCTTTAAAAAATAATTAAAATATCAGTTCAAACATAAAACTCCATTTCTTTTTTCATCCCCATTCTTTTTTCTGCCATTACATTACTCCTCTTTCTTTCATTACCATGGACCCAAAAAGCTTACTAAGTGTATGTTTGGCTAATTGGATAGGTTGAGGTTTGTTTGTGTAAAGATAGTTTTTTGAATTCTTTTTGTTGTCAGACATAAAATCATATGCACAAAATACTGTGTATTTACAAAAGTCTTGTTGTACAAGTATGTTAACCAACTTAGTTGTACACCAAACATAACTTGTTCTTCTATACCTTTCGAGTTGCACAGTATTTCATTGCTATGAAAATGAGAGTATCTTAATGACTAACAGAACAAGGGATTGATGTTCAAGAGCTGAAGAACTTCATGCAAATTGGGGGAGAAATTTTCGCCAAAGCGAGGATTGAAGCAGGAAGAATCCACATGCCCTCTCCACATATCATCCCTGAAGCAACTGCTGGAACCATGACCTCAGCCTTCTTGGCATTGAGTTTATGCCACACAAACACAACAGCACTCCCAATGCACATATCGATTGCAAAGTAGCCTCCAATGAGGAATGGCACTGCCATTGCCATCGGCAACGGCATCCATCTCCCGACCCCACGTGGGGAAAGATCCTTGATCAAGTTGACCAAAACCGCAAACCCGAAAAACCCATAACACAGCTGCAAGCAGTGCGCAGGCAAAGCTGAAAAGCCTTCCACACTGAGAACCGCCATGTTTCGGTAGATGAGGGCATACGGAGCCTTGAACTCTCCATTCGGGTTTCCGATATCAAAGGCGTTGTAGAAGAGGAAGAAGCTGAGTGGGGCCACCACGCAGCCGATGAGGGTCCCGATTCCCTGACTGACTAACATGGCTCTAGGAGAGGTGAGGGTGAGATGGCCCGTTTTCAGGTCTATCATTAGATTGCAGGAAACATTTGCTAGAGACTTGACTATCCCGCATCCGGCTAGACCTGCCAGCACACCGCCATGCTGTTTCCCGGCTAATGCAGCCATCATAAATAGCCCAAGTTTACCGTAGTTGTAGGCCATGTTGATATCCGTTAATCCAGCACCATATGCATTACAGAAAGCCAGAGAAGGGGCAAATGCATAGGCAATGATTATCCAATACCATTTCACTTCAGGGAAGATCATCGGTATAGCGACCACTGCGACAATGGCCAATGACAAGTACCCAACTCCTCCAACCCACATTGGGATGCTTTCTCTAATGAATAACTCATCCTTTCTTAGCTCATCGCCACTGCCTGTACTGCAATCTGCGGTATATATAATACAAAAATATAAATATACAAACCTATACATAAAATCTTGGAATACTTGAATAGCAACACATTCATGTCCGATTATGATTACATTCATAGTTAAACTACTTGAATAGCAACTCAAAGTAAAACATAAGTACCCGGACGTAGAACGACGTTTCTCCTTTTGAACCTTTGAAGAATGCTAAAGAGGGTGAAACATAATATCTTGACGAAGTTGTAAAGGCCATCACCTAAGAGGAGAGAAATGGAGATAAAGACCTGTGGCATGGCAATGAAATGAAAGGAATTGAAATTACTAACTGGCCAACTTCATATATATATCCTTCTTAGCCTTGAACTTATCAATAGGAATGTTTAAAGAGTCTAAAATGCAGTTTATAAAGTATATATAAAAGCTCTGTTTATAAAAAACAAAAAGTTATGTAGTGTTTTATTTGTAACCACTGTTGAGATAGAGAGACCTTGTAGCCATTAAGGCTTTTCATACTGGTTTCTGGGATATTTGCAGGAAACCAATCTCCTTTCAACCTTGCCACAATAGGCCATAGCACTCCCCATGAGATGACAGCACCAAGAAGTAGAGATAAGTTCACAATATGGGGGCAGATCATCCCAGTTCCAACATAAGTCAAACTGAAGTCAAAGAAGAATCTGCAATAGAAACAAATAATCTTATTCAGAAACCAGAGGCCAAAGAAGTAGAGGAATTGCAAAAAAGATTATTCTTTAGGAATATATATATACGTAATACGTACGTATGCTTCCAGGCATTTAACCCAAAAGTTGGAAACTGTGAGAAACCACAATCCCCTTTCCCAGTGTAAAACCACTGAAAGAAAGCCCATACAAAACTGTAAGAAAAAAACTTCAAGAACCCCTTGACCTGTTTTCTGCAAATATATAGTGCAGATAAAAAAAACATGTAAAAAGATTATAAGAAATAAATATTAGACCCCACCAAAATGGGATAGCGATGGGCTTCTTTAATTAGTCACACCTTCCCATTTTATCACTCTTGGCATGGAACCCATTGATTAGAACTGCCGTTGCCATCCCAGTAGGAAATGTCAATTTGTAATCGATTATCAGAATCTGCGAAAATGAAACCATGTAGGTTACTTACCAGTTACCACTATAGGGTGGTATATAAACAACGCATTCAACTTCATCAGTTTTCTATTCCCTTTATTTTTATTCTGACTGTGTTAGTACTTTTTGGGGAAGAAGTGTTTAGAAAAAGTAATAGTGGGTGGTGTTTTATACTCCCTCCTTCCCGGAATTATCTTCAATCTTCATTCTTTCATTTTCGGTCCGTCCCAAATTTATCTCCTTTTTCCCTTTTTGGTAAAGAATATGTGGTTCACAACCATTCTTACACATTTCTCTCTCCTCTGCATAACTCTCCACCACACAAATCCCACTATCTTAAAACTCGTGCCCGGTCAAAACCGGAGTTAAATATGGGACGGAGGGAGTACAAAAAAAAAATATTTTGTGTAATAGAAAAAGTGAAAAACATTTTAAAACATCCTTCCATCTACTTCCAGTTTGGAGGTGTATAATTTAATAAGTTGTTCTATGGTAAGACCAACATTCTTAAGATGGATATTCAAACTTGTGATCTCCTCCTTTGAAGTGTCAGTGATATCATCAGATCACAAGGTATTTGGTTATAAATCGTTGCTTAAAACATCAATTTCATTTTTTTTAACTCAAAAGTTGAAAAATACGAGTATGTTTTAAGTTTTTTGCAAACACTCTCTAAAATATACTCCTTTTTACCAATTTTTCTTTTTTATTTTTCTAAAAAGTTTTCCACTTTCTTTCACTCCCCAAAATACAAAGTATTGAATTTGAAATTGAACTTATTTCTCTCTTTTCGATACAAACATCAACCAAATAATTTTTAATTTAAACAAATTTGTCCATGTAATGGGAAGTATTATATTTTCTTTCTCTTAAAAAATTCATCAAATTTGACCAACATATGGACTAATAAAATAAAATTGTTTATTTGACGTTTGTGGAGATTGAGAGAATTAATTAGAATCTCAAATTCTTTATTTAAAGGGAAAAATGACGGAGTAAATATCATACTTTTGGTTTTTTAGAAGGTCAAGACTCAAGAGGCAACAATTGACTCAACAATTGAAATATTATTGATCCAATCATCCAATCAATCATTTCACGTCTTGGATGGTAAGAGATGAAGAAAACCGACAGAAATTGATAATACTCGAAAGTGATCCTTGAAACCGATCAATTACTGAATAAAAATACATACCTTTCGGAGAGGGATCAGTACAAAAAGGCCAATAAAGCAAACTACAAGTTCGTAACCAGTCATCCAGCCCATCTCAAGCTTCTTATAACTGCTCGGATTGTTTCCCTCTGTTCCAACTCCAGCAAGCTCATACGTTTTCTTGTCCATCCCCAACAAGTAAGATCCAAGTCCACCTGAAAATTTTGATCACCACCCAAAAGAGTCAAGATTCTATTTTAAAAGGTCAACCTAACTAACTAACGAGAAGAATGCAGAAAGTATATGTCAACCGGCCTCCAATCGCAATGCTATAGCAGGCTACGGCGCAGGTTTGGATCATGGTGTTTTCTTGACGGGTGAAGGGGGTGGACGATACTCCGAGCCTGCGAAGAAGCTTCGTCCAGGTTCGGATGAAGATGAAAGCCAGAAGAGCAGCGGAGATGTTGAAGTTGGGAGTGATTCCGGTGGTGAGGTCGAGCTTCATAGCTATCACGCTGAAAATGCTTCCTATTACGGCGCTTGCTATCACTCCTCTCACTGTTATCTGCTTATTCCACGGCGGCGTTGGAACATGGCTTGGAATATTCTCACACGGCTGCCACGGCGGCGACAAGGCCGAGGCGGAGGAGGAGGGGGAATCATCTTCTTCACCTTCATCTTCATCTTCATCTTCATCTTCATGCTCTGCCTTGTTCGGCTTCTCATCCTCCTCTGTAGGAGATAATATCACTGGGAGTTTTTTGTTTATGACTTTTAGTTGGACCTCTGAAATCATTGCTCTTTGGAGTTGAGATAAATGACAGAGGAAGAAGTTATGACACTTTAGTAGGAAGGCAGAGTTATATTGTCAACGGTGCTCAATCAAAATTAGGAGTATGCCTTTTGCATTAAAATATGCTTTGATTAGATAACAGCCACAGAAATGGAGCGTGGCCAACACAAGATTGTCCCACAATTGCCATAAAGGATATTACAGCCAACTTTTATTTTACAAATAAAAAAATACTATCACACTTTTACTAAGACCGTCTCAATTATTTTTACTTTATTTTTATCTTATCAATTCAATATTAATCACGTAACCCTACTTTTTTTAATAATTGTGGCATCTCTGCATGTTTCAATGTTAGTGGGACGGAAGTAGTATTAAGTTACTCTCTTTAATTCTCTATCAATTTGGGATGTTTTTAATTAGACCGTAATATCTTGTTCTAGTCTGGTTTGAGTTTGATACACTCCTTCCGATTCACATTGATCTTGTTTGACTTCACAAATATTAAGGAAATAAATTTGACTTTAAGGAAATAAATTTCACACTGGTTAGCACTATTTGGCACTGTTTGGTGTATATTTGTAAGACAAATAAGAAAGTGTAAAGTTTATTGTAGTACTGACAAAAAATGGAAAGTGTAAAGATGATTGTGAACCGGAGGGAGTATTTGAGTTTGGTCTAATATATATTCTCACTCCGGTCATAAATAAACTTCATAGTTTGATTTTACGGTTTTTAAGAAAGTGACATTTTTGTTTTTGACTTTCCCATCATGACCTTACAAAAAGTAGATTATATGTAGTGTGGGAGAGCGGGTGTAAAGTAGGTAATAAGGTAAGAGTATAAGGGTAACTTTATATTAAAAAGTTACCAAAAATAGAAATGTGAAGTTTATTTTGTATCTACCCAAAAAGGAAAGTATGAAGTTTATTTAGAATCAGAGGGAGTATATGTTTGGTGTGTGCTTATTAAAACTGATCCGATTTGTTTAAGTTTGGTTTGATCTAGTCGGCTATTAGACTGAAATCAGTCAAACTAGAAACCTACTCAGACCCTATGGCCCACATACTCAGAAGACATGTACAAGGACCACGACGCTCAGATGGTCCTCCATCGGCCAAACTGATCGGTCCGCAGAATGTAGCCAAGAAGCCCAGGAGCAAGAGACTGGTCCACCATCAGCCAGGCCCTCCATCGGCCTGGCCCCTCTTCGGCCAACTCAGCTCCAGCAGATTAGATTTTATAATTTGCTCCAAAATATCATGTAATCAGCTCATTAACGGTCTTATTTTTTACCGGACTTCCCAGGCCCAAGTCCTGAAAGCCTAAACCACATTTCCTCTATAAATACTCCCATAGGGGTAGTTGTAGGGATTGAGAAATACGGAATATTAATTATTAACACTTTCTCTCTCTAGATTATACTCTATCAATTTTATTTAATCACAAAGAAGCAGTAATACTTTACTATCTTTAACATTTTCCTACTTAAAACTCCGTACATTTTCTCTCTTCTCTCTAGAGAGGGAGGAACCCTAGCGGCCGTCTATCCTCTTTGTAGGGGTTGAGATTTTCTGTCGTCCCTATCAATATGGGGTTGGAGTGGCAGATTATACCGATTTTCGATGTTCTATAGTTTGGAATTGCAACTACGTCAGAGATAACGTTGGCGGATGAACAAGGTGCGGCTGAGAGGTTGTATCGAGACGAGATCGTGAAGCCTTGGTCGGCAATTCCGACGGTGGTGGGGTTGGTATTCACCCATATTGTAAGAGTTCGTCACCCTCTGAAACCACCTCCATACCAAGATGAGCTTTGTGTAAAGATTTTATTTTAATATTATTTTCTCTTTAGTAGCACTTGTTCCTGTTTTAGTCTGAGTAGATTTGGTTTGAATGCTTGGAATTTTGAAGTTCTTTTGACATACAGAGTTTCGGTTCTGATCGTTTGCCTAAATTTGCCTGTTTCAAGTTTAGCGAGTCATGTTGCTTTGTATGAGGTGGTTGACTCTATGTCTACTCCTAGGGTTCATGATTGGATCTGTAAATTGTGTCTGAAGGTTGTTTGGTATGTGTTCTCTATTTTAATATAACAGCCGCTCTTTTATGATACAAAAACGTTTTCCTACTTTATTTAGTTTTTTTAAATAGTTTACTTTATTAAGTTATTCATTTGTAACAAAATAAATTAGTCTTTTGTTCTTTTCTCGCTGAAAGAAGAAAAAAAGATTTATGAAGATGATAAAACGTACCTGGAACTCCGAATGTTTGAGAAACAAGTTATACTACACTCATTAGGGTCCTATAATGAAAAAAATTATCACTAGACTTGTAGAAGCCCTACTATGAAAAAACATTATCTATTTGTGTCTCTTGAGTTGTACTGTCGTCGTATGAAAGAATAAACAATGCGGCCACAAGTAAAACAGAAAAGCATTCTCAATTTACTCATATTCATTGTAACAAATTATGATTTAAACTTTATTGAATCACAAAAATTGAATTAGATTTTGAGACAAAATTAGCACTCAAAATCAGAGCATATAATTTTTTTATTAATCACGCGACTACTAGTAAAACAAATATGAATGGAGGAGATGAACTTCAATGTAGTGGGGAGGTTCTTAATTGATTAATTCCTAGTCTTGTCTATTTAAGTATAGTTAGATCTGATCTAGTATATTTAAGTATGATTTGTTTAAATACGGTTTGATTCATCTAAGTCTTATTTAGTCTGATAGAAGTAGATTTATGTGCGTTTTTATGATTATCCAAGTATGATTTGATGTGATCTATTTATATTTGATTTAATATCTAATATAATATGTATAAATCTAATTTAATATAAAATTGGAAACAAAACTCAATTTAAAACATCTTTAGAATCAAATATATATTCATGTGGTATCAGTTTCTACTTGACTTTATTCTAAATATATATTGACTCACTCACCCTATCATACATGACACTTAATAATTTCAAATATGAGGTGTTTTAGATCGTGATTTGATTAATTTTTGGAAGTCTCTGTTTGAATATGTCTTTCAAATTATGAGATGTGAGGTCATGTGACTCACATTTTCCTACTATCATTGTCAATGAATCACTTACAAGTAATTGCTCACCAAAAGTACTTCTATTGGTCACACTTTAATGTATAGCACTAGTATTAATTGCTTCACTAGTATTAATAGCACTAGTCACAAAATTTGTAACATCTCTCTTTCAATGAATTGGACGAGTTTTCCTAATAAAAAAAGGATAAAATTTCATCCCAATGAATTCTTAGCACCAGTTATATAGTTAACGGGAAGGAAGTAAATTAGATTTTAATCATACAGATATCGAACGAGGCTCTGACCCAAATATTCGAACTCAAAACTTACCTCTCGTAACACTACGTACATATCCGTCAAGTTACGCCTACGGGGGCAAGTTTTCCTGACCATATAAGACGTATGGTGGTCGATTAACAAAAAACTAATCAGGTTTTATGAGTTTGGTGTGAAAGGAGGATAACCGAAAACCAAACAAAAGTCAGCTTTCGGTCTTTTTCACATCGATTCCTTTTTATTGGTTTGTTTTAGGTACAAATTTCAGTTGTTTATTTGTGGGTTTGATCGGCTCTTAAGAACATAGTTTTAAACTTTGACGGAAAAAGCTTCTAGTTTTGTTCAGATATGATTTTCGTCGCTCTAGGAATCACGAGGTTGGGAAGGTTCGAATGGAAAGGCCAAAGAGAAAAGGGTCGAAATGATGGGTTGATTTTTCTCTTGAAATTATGGCCATTGAGTTTCGAATACGATCGAATCTATTTAAGTTAGACGTGTGTTTAGCACACTTCCACAAGGGAATAAAATACTTCGTGTAAATGCTGAGAAGAAAAGAGTCCAAAAGCATCTCCCACTTAAATAAATCAAAGAAATAGTACCACTTTTGTTTGGTAACCACTTTTGTTTGGTAATACTCTCTAATCAGTCCACGTTCCCACGAATAACATCAAAGATATCAGATACGGAGTATCTTTTTTTATCGTAACGATAGGTGATAAAACGATAAAAGGAACACAGACAACCTGATCGATCGGCTAACAAAGATAGGTTTTAGGGATCAAAAGTTGTTTTCTCATTACTAGAAGTCGAGTATATATATATGTACAAGAAGCCCTTGGCCCATTTAATTTACAATTAAGGTTGAGCTAAACTATAGACATAAAATAAATACAAATGAAATAAATAAGCCCATAACACCCCCTCAGGTTGGAGCATGGGGTTGAAAATGCCCAACTTGCTGAGAAGAAAAATAAATTGTCGTTGGCCCACAGCTTTAGTGAAAATATCAGCTAGTTGATCACCAGTAGAAACGTGACGTGTCGTGAGCAAACCATCCTGGATAGTGTCCCGCACATAATGACAATCAACCTCTATCTGTTTAGTGCGTTCATGGAATACGGGGTTCTGAGCAATATGGAGAGCGGATGTACTATCATAAAACAATGACATAGGCCGAGAATAGAGGACCCCGAGGGACAGCAGAAGGCCCTTGAGCCATTTGAGCTCAGCAGTGACCGCAGCCATAGACATGTATTCCGCCTCCGTAGAAGAGCGAGACACTGTATGCTGTTTCTTGGTCTTCCAAGAGATAGGAGAATTTCCAATAAAGATCATCCAACCGGTTAGGGAGCGTCGAGTAAGGGTACAGCTCGCCCAATCCGAGTCGCACCAAGCCATGAGATGTAAATCTGAACCAGAAGGGAGGAGAATGTCTTGACCAAGTACACCTTTAAGATAACGAAAAACACGTAGGGCCGCGTGCCAATGCTCCTGTCGTGGTGCCTGCATAAACTGAGACAAAATGTGAACAACATAGGCCATGTCCGCACGATTAAAAGACAAATAAATAAGCCTTCCCACAAGGCGGCGATAGGACTCAGGTTCCGAGAGGAGATCTCCCGTGGCTAGCGCCAATGAATGATTTTGTTCCATGGGATAAGATGAAGGTTTGGCCCCAAGGAGACCAACTTCAGAAATGATATCCAAGGCATATTTTCGTTGAGAGGTCCCAAATTCTTC